AATTCGACTAAATGCCGTTAAAAACTGTTTAAGATAATTAAAAATGGTTAAAAAACGATTAAATACCATTAAATAGAAAATGTGTTAAAATCATTTGATTTCACAAGTTGGAGAAAAACACACACAAGTGCATTTTCTGAAAAATTAACCACCTGCACATCAGTAAATCCACGACGTAAACATGATCGTTTTTCTTATCAGTTTTTCTGAGTTTTGTCCAGAAGAAATAGTTGTTTCCTTTTTTCTTCTTCTTCTAATTCTGTCTAGTTTCCATACATATTTATTTTGAACTTTCCAAATTGCTCAAAAACGGTCTTAAAACTAAAGGCAACATTTCTGAAAAATATTTTACATATTTATTGAATCCGTCACCAAGTCGTGACGTTACAGTTTGAGACGGGTCATCAAGCTCTGCTGCCGTTTTCAATCTGAGCTACTACAACCGATTCTGGACCAAAAACAACCAATCAGAGCGAGGAGGTGGGTCTTAGTGCTGTCAATCACAGTATTTGTGGCGCTGCTCATTCTCCCTATCCTTTGCCCCATTGCTCTCTGCTACGCTGCAGCTAGCATAGCCTGTTGTGAAGGCTAAAGCTAGTTAGCATAGCCATGGACGCTGACGGCGGATAAATGGTTCTTCTTCAGCGGTGAGTTGTTTGCCGCCAGTAGCACATTTAGCAGCACGTACATGCGATCGGTGCATCCCTAAAAACATGGAGAGTATTCACTGAAGCTCTCCAGAAAGAAAAAAGCAGAAATAAAATGTTTTATCATACAAATGTCAAAATCCTTTTGGTAAGGAGTTTTTACGATAAACGGCTGCTTCCCGTGGATAAATTCGCCCAACCTTGCACACGCCTCCTTCCTCCTGTCTCATCTGTCGTACCTCAGACCTTCTCTCCCCCCTGAGCATCAAACCTTGTGTATCCTCTGTTCCCCCCACTGCTCTGTCCACTCGCTCTCCCTCTTCTTCCTCAGAGCCCGTGGAGGAACACCATGTGGCCCAGTTGTTGAGGTTTTTATCCACCGACCTCAGCTCGGGCCGCCGCCAGCTCTCTCTGGACCACGCTCTGGCCCACCACCTCCACCAGTGCTCCTACCACCTGCGCCTCTTCCGAAACTGGCTCATCTCCGGCCAGGACCCCCTAGAGTGCCTCCACGGTCAGCCCCAGGCCCCGCCCTCCTCCTGCTCCCCCGGCCTCTGATTAACCTCTGGTTTCGTTGGGACTGTGCTTGCTCTGTGGTTGACCCCCGTTGCTTCGCCTCCTGGTGTTTCTGCATGCCTGCCTGTTTCTGCTGCCGGCTGCGGCGGCCTGAGCCGCAAGTCTCAGCAAATTCAGCTCTGCCGCCATTTTACCACACAAATTACTGATTTTACTATAATCGCCTTGAAAATGCTGAAATTAATTATTTCTCAAAATAAGGAAACTTTACAACCATTTTATCTTCTATAAATACCAAATATGCAGAAATTTCCATCTGAGGATTAAATATTTTCACTCAAACTTGACTATAAAAATATATTTTATATTAAAAGTTATATTTTATTATATTGAAATTATACCAAATGATGTGATATTAAACTATTAAATTATGTTACATGAAATTATATTTTATAAAATTATGCTAATTATAATAAATGGTTTGACCCAAACATGACTATACATGTATATTATGTTAAATTATGATATTAATGTTATATTAGATCATATTTTATATTATATTTTCTTTTATTACATTAATTTATATCAAAATATGTCATATTAAAATGTTAAATTGTATTATGTGAAATTATATAAACTGTTATATAAAATTATTATTATTGTTCAGTTATATTAGGTTGAATTGTGATATTTGTATAAAATTATTATACAGTGTTAAATTATGTTATATATTGCATTATAGTATATAATATAAAATTATTTTGTATTTTAAAAGATACTTTTATGTTATTAACTTATTATATTAAGTTATGTTATATTAAGTTGTTATACTAGATTATATTTTGTGAGGTTATATAAATTCCAAATATGCAAATATGTTGGTTAGAATTTCCTTAAATATCATTAATTATAGTTTTGATCTAAATCTGACCATTATGAATAATGTATAACATTAAATAAAGTAGAAAAAGCACAAACAAGCTTATTTAATAGAAATAAAATGTTTGTACTTTCCGTCTCTTTGATGATTTATTTAGATTTTAATCAGCTAAATTCAGTTTGATTTATTTATAGAATGTAATTTAACAAGGATTATGTTAACCGGATTAGTTTTGTAGTGCAACCAAACCGTGTCGTAAATATTATCCGTTTGACTGGAATCTTCAAATTTTCCTCAAATTGCATCTAAAACCGTCTTTAAAAACGGAAAAATATTTATTCCTCCACATTTTCTTGATTCTTTTCAGGTTTTTAAAGGTTTTGTTGGGACTTTTTTACTTATTTCTGTTCAATCACCAGACAGATTTTGGTAATCTGCGTAACTGGAACCAAAGAATCGTTCAAGATGCAGAAACTAGCAAAAGTATTCACACCCTTTGATTCTTTTTCACATTTTGTGACCTTTCAGCCAGACACTTGGGTGGATTTTATAGAAAGTGGAGGATTTTCTTTCTAAATTAAAGCCTTAGAAGTTTGATGTGCATTTATACTTAGCCCCCATTATTCTGATACGCATAAATAAAACCCAGAGAATCCTGTGAGCCTCCATATGAATCCAGAGATGTTCACTGTGGTTTATTTTCCTTCCTTATTGTGGTTTGTTTATGTTGACTGCGGCTCCAAACATTCGTCTCCAAATGGTTCCAAACAAACTCTGGCGGTTTCGTTTATGGTGTGCTTGCTACACCATGGTGGGTTTGAGCCAAATGGCTTTCCGTAGCCAGGTATGTGCTGCATTGTGGGATGCAGTAAAATAAACTTTGTAAAATAAAATAAGTTTAGAGCAGGGTTAGGACAAGATCCCCTTTTTCTTTTTAATTCACTTAATTAGTATTATGCATTATTTTTGTTTCCTTGTTGCAACGTAGCAAAATGTGAGAAACTTCAAAGGGGAGTGAATACTTTTATGAACATCTGTAAGGAGCCTCCTAAACTCCGGGATAAGTCCAGATTCCTCCTGACCTAATGCTCATGTAGGAAGGTATGATCCCCACAAATAGCCGTTTCTTCATCTCAACATTTCGCCAGCTGGGCTTTTCTCTGATATAATTTCTTCCAAATATTGTTGATTTTGGTTGATGTGTTGCCTTCACAGAAGTTACTTGTTTTACCCAAAACCAGTAATGAGCGCCGCTAACTAAAACGATAGTTGTGCTAAACTCTAAAGCATTTTTCATAGATGTTCCCTCTGCTAACTCTAAAGCACTACACCAACTCTGTATTTGACTTAAACCAACGCTGTAGCACAATACATACACAGTGTTTATCAAAAGCTAATGCTAAAGCGATATACCAGCACAGTATTTAGCAGAAGCTAACTTTAAAGCACTATAACTATATTGTATTTAGCTTAAGCTAATGCTAAAGCACTATAGCAACATACTAGTGGATGCTAAGCCTAAAGAGCTACACCAACATGGTATTTACTGGAAGCTATTGCCAAAATTACACCAATATTGTATTTAGCAGTAACTAATGTTAATGCGTTTACTTCAGTTCCCTTATAAACTATATTTATATTTACATCTTGTTCTCTATTGTCTGTGTTTTTTTTTTATTCTTGTGTAGTTATTTTTTTCTGATCAGTTTAGTTAAAAGGTGATTTGGGGAAGAGAGGAAACAAAAATAATGTGTAAACAGTATACACCCATTTCAAAATAAGAGCATGGATATAAACATCTGACTTGGTCAGTAATCAAAACTTCAACACAAATGTCAAACCTTATTTCACTGAAAGTTTACAAAACATCCAAGTACATTAGCGCTTGAGAATTTATTTATGTACAGGAAGATAAGTGCGCTAAACGTTTTCAAATTTAGCTAAAGCATAAAACAAAAAATTATCTCAGCTATTAGCGCCTTAGTAGAAGATAGCTGAATAGCAGACAGCAGGAATACCAATCTAACATTGGAACTAACATAACAAAATGACCAACATTCAGGTCTAAAGAAGCTTAATAAATGAACAGAAACTGTCTTTATATCAAAGCAGACTGATGAAGTAAAACAATCAACTTTCAGATTCAGATTGATCTAAATCTGGAGTGTTTGTTGCTAATTTCAGTTTTATTTTGAGCATTTTGGTACTTTTTCACTCAAACTTTTATTTATTGAGTTTATTTTCCTCATAATGTTGAATTTTGTGCAACATAAAGAAAAGGTGGAGTGTAAAAATCGTCTGTTGTGAGCATGTTGGCACACAGTGCGTAGCGTCATACTGCAGCGGGTTGTGCTTTACGGATGTAAACATGCCTGAATGACGGCGCACGAGTCTGCAAGTTCCCAGTCCGGATTCAGACAGGAACCGGACCTACAGCTCGGCGCTTTGGCTCCTCTGTCCTGACCCTAACCAGCATGCAACTCCTGCTTGTTTGCTGTCTCTGTGGCGAACACCGGCCTAGTTAAAGCACCGTCATCTCAGGTTGTTCCGGCTGCGGTTTGATGAACGGCTCTGGTTGTGAACTAACCAGCTTGGGGAGCGTGTTGTCAGAGGAACAGGGACTCAGAGAAACGGTGGATGTTTATGTTTTTATTTTTATGTTTTTGGTTGGGGGGCTTTAGAGGAACCTGCTTGCTTTTGCAAACATATGGAGACCTGTTAGTTGCGTCCCAGTTTTCCGGGCATTCAGCATGGTTTTTTTGCAACTTGCCTGTGTGGAACCAAACAGAACGGGACGGCTGGAGATCGCAGACCAGTAGACAGGTTCCTGCAGCACCGTGTCGGGGGGTTTTGGGTGGGAGTTGCCGGGCCTTTTGGTGATGGACATCACCATTTTCCTGCAGTGTCGGGGTTTAAGCTGATGCGCCTGCGGGTGCCATGTGTCTCCTCTGCCGCAGGCTTCGAAGGCTGCTCCATGGTGCCCTCCATCTACCCGCTGGAGACGCTGCACAACTCGCTGTCGCTCAGGCAGGTCAACGAGTTCCTCACCAGAGTCTGCGAGAGCGCCGGGGATACGCACGCCAGAACCTCCAGAGGTCAGGAAACCTCGCCGTTCTTTTCAAAAGTAGTAGCATTAACTTCCTTCAGTTTAATTTGCTCTCTGTGTTTCCCCCACAGCTCTGTCGGCCATGTTGGGCGCTCACAATCAGCCGTCGGTGGACGCTTACATCCCTCAGAGGGTCCTGTCAACCTCCATCTCGCTCAGATCTCGCACCGACAGACCTCCATGGTGTGAGTATCAACCCCTCCTTCAGAACCATTTTCAATATGTTTATTATGTATCACATAAAATTATCTTACAACCATCTCTTCAGTCTCCACCAGTCAGGCTGTTTTGGCCAGTTTCTGATACCAGTTTTAGGTTATTACAGTTTCTCTTAAAGGTGACCTACTGTGCCTCATTGAACAGGTTATACAAAACATGTTCATTACATTTTTTTCACGTAATCATTCTTAGATGATGAGATTTTAGTCTGCTCAGTTCTGCCTATATTGAGCTGTTTTAGGGCGTCTGTCACTTTAAATCCTAGTAAGCTGCTTCTGGCCACGCCCCCAAACGGTTTGGTTGGTTTGACGCAGCGCAGAGTGAATGTGACTCCAAAGAGAGAAGTAAACCTTTTAGTTTGAATATTGCTTAAAGGGGCGGTATCATGTAAAATTAACTTTTTTTTTAAAATCTTTTCATCATGTCTTAATGTTATTTCCTCATCAGAAACAGATTTGGATTGTTGCTTTAATTCTTTCATGCATGTTTGAGAAATCCTTTCATCTCCATGGCAACCATTCAGTGTGTAAAACGCCTGGGTGGGCCTAGCCCCGCCTTCGAGGACAAAGCTCCTCCCCCACTCAGCTCCTTCAGACTAGCCAGCAGCATTTGGCTGAGGAGCTACTTCTCTGGTAAAAACGTTGTTCAAGGTTTAATAGAGGAGCCATGTTGTGATGACCAGAAACAGCAGGAGCTTCTTAAAGAGACAGTCTCAACATTTTTTTTACCATCTGATCATAGCTTCTTGATTATGTTATAAAATGGAAACTGTGACTGATGAACACGATGCCGCCCCTTTAAGCAGATTTTCTGTGTTTTCCGTCCCCGCAGACAGCAGCGGTCCATCCAGCACGGTTTCCAGCGCCGGCCCGTCCTCCCCCACCACGGCCGACACTTCGCCGCGGTTCAGCTTCAGCGACAAGGTGTTGCTCACCCCGCAGAGCAGCGAGGAAACCCATTCCTCCCAAAACGCCTCCGCCCAGCCGCCGCCCGCCGAAGTCCCGCTGACTCCAAACAACTCCCCAGAAGAAGAACCCGAACCTGAACCCGACAAGCAGCCCGACAAGCAGCCCAATGACCCAGAACCAGCGGTAGACAGACAGGAGGTGTCCTGCGGCGCTCTGGAGCCAGTCCCGGAGCAGAGGCCGGCCTGCGTGGCGCTGACGGAGCTGAGTCTGGGCCGCATGGAGGGCTACTGCCTGCCCGGGTCGCTGCCAGTGCTGCTGGAGCTGAGGGAGAGCAGCAGCGAGGCCGGGTCCAGCTCGCAGACGCCCCAGTCCCCTGAGGGGCCCGACGAGTTCTTCGACACGCAGGAGTCCGTGGAGCTGTGGACGGACAGTCCCGAAGACGCCACGCAGCCC